GGCGAACATTTTTCTTGTAAAACAAAGGGGGGCCCAGCAAAAAAAGTTTGGGAACCCCTGCTGTAACACATAGATGAAAATTGTTTTATTTTACTGCTTAATATATTTTAAACTTAAAATACTGCTCCAAGACAATCAAAGTTATATATACGTTATCATGAACATAACCTTATGGATACCCCAGAACTGTGTTCTATTCCGACTGGACTGATATTTTGCTTTTGTGGTACAACTTGTCATATTTACATAAAAGTTAAATGGCATTTTCTTCATTTTTGTGACTAAGGATTTTGTTTTGGGTTCCTCGTGTTTTATTTTGCAGTATTGTGAAATTCAACTGTCATCCAGAAGTGACAGCGACAGCATGTTGGTGCGGTGGTTGGCATGGCAAGAAGGTCCTGAGTTTGATTCCACCAGCTGAGCTGGGGTCTTTCTGTGTGGAGTTAGCATGTTCTCCCTGTTTGTGTGGGTTCTGTCAGGGTTCTCCGGTGTCCTCCCACAGTCCAAAGACTTGCAGTTAGTGGGGTTAAGCTAATTTCAAAGTGCCAAAAATTGAGCATTAAAAAACATCTAGAAAACAATTTGACATATGAAGCTAATATTTCACAGCAATCATTGTAAATGTACAAACTTTGGACCAAAAAGGTTTTAGGCAGATTTTCGAGGAGGAGGCCAACAGTAATTTGAATTGCTATGCTTGAGGCTCTTTGAGGTGTCAGTAAAACTCACCTCTGTAATGGTCCCTCTGATGCTCGCTTTGGACGACTCTGCAAACGCTTTGACCTCTGCGATGGAGCACAGTGGGCTCTCGGGACATAACAGAGTCCGAGCAGTCTTCTCAATCTCTGCTGGGACTTTCACAGCGCTCGTCTCAGACACTTTGCTTGAAGAAGTAACCTTCAAAACATCTTCATTTTTTTGTAGCTTAATAAACAAGTAGGACCTCTCTTCCTCGATTTCTGAATAGAGGTCATTTTGATAAACCACCACTTTAATGACGTCTGTTTCATCAGCAACTGCCAGGTTAAAGTATGGCTTCTCCTTCTTGTCAATTTTAAATGTGCACAGACCAGATTTCTGAAGAACTTTCCCAACAATCACTTCTGTGTCGAGAATTTGTTTGCTGGATTTGACATCACTGATGGTTCTTTTCTGCATACAAAAGAGGGAAAATATCTCCATCAAAGTGACATAAATGTTAGACTGTCAGTAAAAGTACTTACTGTTTATCTCACAACAGCTCCAAATGTACTCGTGCAGGCATGTAGTTCGTTCATAATGTTAATGAGATATTATCTGATACTTATCCGTGTACCACTGACTAATACACCAGGTTGTTAAGCAACTTTAATTTTCTTTAAATGGAGAGTAAAGAGTTTGTTTACCTGACTAATGACAGAAACTAGACATTAGTTAAGGCCTCAGTGACAGACACCTGTAGACTAATTTGCTATCGCCGACAATCTCTGGTTGTTGGAAGAAAAAGAGTATTACCCAATTGATTGGTGACAGGTTGCTGTTGCTGTGTGAACCTGGTTACAAAGAGGTACAGTGGTCCCTCGCTATAACGCGGTTCACTTTTTGCAGCCTCGCTGTTTCACGGATTTTTTTGTGCAATTTTGCACACTTTTTTTTTTTTTGCAGCGCATTGTCTTCTGCGTCCTGATTGGCTGTAGACCATTGTCAATCAATCTTGTGCCGTGTCTCCTGTACAGTACAGAATGCCTTCAGCTTGTCAAATTTGCATAAATCTTCGATCGCTAGCAGTGTGAGTCTGAAGTGCTGTACTGTATGCTTGTACGTTTTCTCCCCAACAAACACAACAATGTCGATGAAACGTTTTGCACGTTTTGCAC